AGCGGAAGTCCGCTCAGAAATTTGCTTTTATTGTTTGCACTTCTGCCAGACGCCTTCTCTCTCTCTCTCTCTCTCTTTCTCCTGGTTTTTTTTGGGCTTTTAGTTGTTTTTTTAGCGTGGTGCATTCTTGTTGAGTTTGCTGTCAGCATTCCCTTTCGATTTCCTCATCCACTCGAACTAACATCCTTCCGCAAAGCTGTCGTAGCCGGGACCTTCTATGCTCCTGGTCAATCGCCAGCAGTGAATCCAAATGACAAGGCCGCCTGTCCGTTTGTCAATCAATTGTGAATTGTTTATTGAATGATGTCGTTAGGCTGCACACACAGCATACAGCACACAGCATACACCACACAGCACACACCACACACACACCATATACAACCAGCAAGACAGTTATTTTCCACTAGGATGGGAGCAGCTGACTGGTTTTGTTTCAATATTCGACAGCTGCTGGTTAGCAGCCGCACTAAGAACTGTTCGTTCGGTTGCCAATGTTGTTTACACTGGCAATGGCGACGCTTTTCTTTCTTTTTTTTTATTTTTCTGTTCTGTTTTGTTTTTTGATTTTGCTTTTGCTGGGAGGCGTTTTAATGGAAAACTGTGCACTGATCGATTTGTTGACGTTTTCAACACTTTCTCTTTATACCCTTCTTGCACTGAGCCCTCCTGCTCTGCCGATATGTTGTGGCCAGTTAGTGCAGTATTTATATTGATGAATTTTGAAAATTGTCTCACTTTAAGTATCAAGCGCTGCTTGCATTTCGATAGCAATCGAGAGGTAATTTAATTAATGGAAAGTTAATTGAGATTGGCTCTGTGAGTGTATCCTGTATACGCCATGGCTAACTTGTATTTCGTCTTATTGAGTGCTCTGTCGCATTACTAATACGCACTGTGGCCGCTTTGAATAGATACTCCCAGGGCTCTCATAATCTTGTCCAAATGGCTTTTGTTCGAATGAAATAGTGTTGAATTTCTGCTCACAAACAGCCGCACACACACACACACACACACACACACACATACATATGCACATATATACACGAGTCGAGCATCCTTAACAAATGCACGAAATGGCTTTTAAACGAGCCCGACGCCGTGCAGTCTGGCTGGCTGTCGGGCTGTCGGGCTGGCATAGTCGCGGGCCTGCATCATCGCTTCATTCAGCTGACGCTGGCGCTGGCGCTGCCGTTGGCATGTGATGATTTGTTCGCACATAATGAAACTCATCAGCAGCAAGGCAGTGAGCACTGCCATGGATTCAGGAGGTCGACTGCCGCATTGGATTTCGCGGCAGGGCGTGAATTGGCTTGGCATAAATTCAAAAAAATGAAACTAGTAACGAAATTCCACTTGGCAATGCTCGTCTACAAAATGCTCTATAGAGAATAATGGGGCAAAGATATGCGCTAAGCAATACTCAAATATCAAATATCATAATAGATAACCTAGATGAAATACCAAATAGATAATCAGTTCTCTTATTCCAAGTTAACTGGGGCCATATTTAACTTTTTTTAAGCAGCTCACCATTTACAGAGTATTAAATATATAGAGCCAATGCGACAGCAACGCGAAAAGAAAATATTGTAAAAGCATTTTCCAGTTTCATTTTTCATGGCTCAGCGCCGGCCGCACTCCGACGTGCGCGTTTTTCCTTCGTTTTCTTTTTTCATTCCTTTCTGCTTTCTGCGATTTACTTAATTTGAAGTGAGCCCGAGCCATCAGGCAACTGCTTTTAAAATCAATTTGGCTTTTATTTTTCTTGCGACTTGTGGCTTTTACTGCCCGCTGCTTGGCGTTTCTTTTAGGTTTTCCCTCGGACCGCAGCACATATTTATGCACATATTTTGCAGTCACTGTGAGACCACTCTCGCTCGGACATTAAGTCCGAAGAGGACAAATAGCAGCACTCGCCGACCTTTGTCATCGACAGCAGATGAATGGAAATCAGTGAAAATCAGATGAATGAAAATCAATGCACCTACTTGCATAACATAATCCGTTTCACTGTGCAAATGAATTGTAATAGATATGCGAGTGCAAATATATGCATATACATATATATAGTATATCCCATATAAATACATATCTTATTGACATAATCAGCGGACTGAACGAAGTTTAATTTACCTCCAATCCATCTGTGTTTACTCGGCAAATTCATTAGCCGTTACTTTCCCTGCCCCGCCCCACAGTGCTGGGCCGCAAAGACCGCAACAGTTGTGTCTGCCACTAAAAATGAGGGCAATGCATTTATCCCGAGGGTTCCACACAGTCGAGCTGCGAATCCAGCCAAGCAACGGGTTGCCATGCGCTTGTTTTTGATGTGACGCTGATATTTAAAAGTGGAGTTGGAGCATCAAAGCTATGTATATATAGCTATATATATATGTGTGTGTGTGTGTGTAAGCTAGTATATATGGCAAACAGGGCCAACATAATTATGCACAAACTATTTATACCCTATAAGCAAACATATTAACGCCTCAGCTGGAGCCTGGTAATTAAATGAAGCATTTATAAAATGGAATATATGTAGACTAAAATGGTGATTTAAACAAGAAACCTTTATGTTAAAGTCATGATTAAAGATTCTCTTTTTTTCATATTTGCTTATCCCAATTAGTGCTGCAGCTTAAAAGACTTTTTGTATTGCTAAGAGAATATTTCAAATAAGTTTTAGATTGATTCATAAAAAAAAGATATGTAAACCTAGTTTGTAAATATATAAAAATATATGAATATATAAATATAATATAAGAATATATGAACATATAAATATTATAGAAAATTAATCTACAATTATTTCGGTTTTTTTATATACTTTTTTTTCAACTTCATCAATAATTATTTATTTCAATTCAAGTTTAAAGGCTTAAAATATTAAATCGCTTTTGGTTCCCCGACGATCCATAAAATAAAATCTTTCAAGGCTTCGCCGATAATACCTAGATCTCAGTCAGGCTACGATCTGAGTCCCAAATTCATCCGCCTACAAATTGTTAACACACCTCCTAAGCTTATTTTCTCCAAGGCTTGATTTGTATTTGTATTCAGAATGATTCCCTCTCATAATATATCCTTCTATAGCTATACAAATATAGAGCAAAAGTAGTCCATTTAACTTAAGTAAATCAGCTGTAGTCACTTTTCGTGTTCGCTTTGCCCATTCAAAACTAAAACAGGCATCACGTAGTCTAAGCAGTTATTTGAACCTAAGCTTCGATTCGATTTTCAATAGAGAGCTTTGCCAGCAACAGAATCAATGCAGAACAAAGCGCATAGCTGCATTGTAGGGCATCTTGTAGCTGAACACTGAACAGCGAAATATAACGTTTTTTTTCTCCTTTGTGTACTTGCGGTAATTGCGTAGCATTTTAAGCATGCTGGCAGCACTCAGTGCAGCTGTTGTTGTTATTGTTGTTGCTGCTGCTATCGCTGATGTTGCTTGCTGCTGTTGGTGTTGCTGCTGCTGCTGCTGTTGCTGCTGTTGCTGCTGTTACTTGACACATGTCAGTCAGTCACTCCGTCACTCATTCCGTGCGCTTGGCTTTGGAGCGTGGCCAAGCGGAAGGCTCAGCAGCGCCAGCAAAAGGCATAGCAGCGCTGGGCGCTGAGTGGGCGTGATTCAGCTAGCGTGAATTTGACTTTGTGTATGCGAAACATTAAATGCACTTGCATCGCGTTGCCTTGCCTCTGCCGGCTCCTGCTCCTGCTGCTGCTGCACTGTTTGCTGCTGACAACAGCAATAATGCAGCACTTAATGTGCCAAATGTCGGTGTATGTGTGTGTGTGTCTGTGTGTGTGTGTATGACTGGCTTTATATATAGAATAGCCATTGCTGGCATTTGAAGCATTACAAGAGCATTTCTTGTGGCACTTTAGCTTAAACATCAAATCTTACGCATACGCCCCGATGACTCAACGAATAGCACTTGGCCAGCAGAAATTTTCATTGCCAGCACGTAATTTGCATATAAAGCCATTGCCATAGATGGCGCAGAGCTGCCCAGATTTATGGACTTTGAGCCACCGAGCCAGCTAGCCAGAGCCAGAGCGAACCACCTAGCAGCTTGTCAATCGCAACGCTACTCTGATTTTGATGTGGATTTTGATGTTAATGCTGATGTTGAGTTATGGGCGCACAGCGAACAAATACCAGCTGCAAAACGGAAATTACATTTCGCTTAGTTCGCAAACTCGGGCGAGCAATTAAAGCCGGTGCCACTGGGCGGTGCCAGCCGATGGCCTGGCATTAAACTTTTCCCCATCGCATTAGAAACTGGAGCGTTAAAACAAAGCGCACACTTTAAAGTATTTCTCTTAATTCGAATTTGAAGTTTGATCGATATGCGGCGCAGTGAGCAGTGTGTGGTGCCAGCCCTAGCCCTAGCCCTAGCCCAGCCCAGCCCCGCCCAGCCGCAGCAACTGGCTGGCACTCGCGGACCAGGCATTAGAGGTCATGCGAGTGCCTGCGGGTCCGCATCATTTCAACGGCAATCGTCGCGCCGAGCTGTTGATGTGCGCCCTCCATTGATTCGTTTGCATTTCTATTCTGTTTCGCTCGGCATGGCTGCATCTGCTGCATCCGATGCCGCGACGCTAGCGAGCAGCGATGAGGAGCTCACGCTCGCTGGCGCTGGCGTTGGCCTCTCGGGCGGCCAACGGGATTACAGCGATGCGCGTCTGGATCGCGTGGCCGCCTACACGACGACCACGATGCGTCTGAAGCCGGACAAATGGGCCAAAATGATGCTGCACGACGAGCTGCGGGTGAGTCCTCCTCAGCCTCACGCATTGCACACTGCACACTAAACCGAGTCCGGCTGTCGATGCAGCACATTGTCATGGACTGGCTGCACGGACGGACGCGAGTGCTGGTGATGACGCTCAGTCCCGGCGGCGAGCTGGTGCCCCGGGGCTGCATCAGCGATCTGTATCTGGGCTATGCGCTGTCGAGCACCGGCACGCGGTCAGCCGGAGCGACGGCGACGGCGGACTCCGCTGCCACGGCTGCGGTGGTGGCGGCGGCGACGGCTGCTGGCGCATTGGTGGTGCCGCTGCCGCCCGCTTCGTCCAGCTTCACCACCTTGGATGGAGTGCTGCGCGGCAAGTGCGCCTACTTCATACGCCACAATGTGGGCGTGCCGCTGACAGCGGCCAACTTCCAGAGCTCCGTGGTCTACGGCGACTTTCCGGTGCACAGCAAAATCGAGACGATGTCGCTGCTGTTCGACGAGGTGCTGCAGCCGCTGCTGGAGGGGGCCGAGGGCGGCTGGCCGTCGCCCGTGCGCAAGGATCTGCAGGCGCGCGTCAAGGAAGTGCGCAACACCCTGACCGAGGTGGGTCCTCTAACTCCGCCAAGTCCCTTATCTGGCCATATTAATCTAATTGAGTGCAGCAAGGCGCATGGGGTCGCCAGCAGGCAAACGCTCTCGCCTTTGTCCCCATGTATTTGGCTTAATTGGGCAAAGTTTTCATGTGTCTATAAGCGCTATTTATACTTTATTGTTATCCCCCACAGATTAAGGGCAAGACCAACAATCGCACAATTTTATCGTTATTAGTTGCGCCAACAGTCGTCGAGGAAGTGTCTGCCCACGTGAGCCGGGGGTAAGTAGGAGCCGTGCTCCAACTTTGGTCACACTCAATGGCCATTGTCTCAAGGGCTATGTATTTCGTCCTTTGCCCGCATCGGCTGCTGCGTCATCGCTGCTGCCAATGAATGTTTCTTGATAGAGAGTGAGAGAGAGAGAGGCGAGTGAGGGAGAGAGAGAGTGAGTTTCAATGGGAAAGCAATCATATAAATCGAACTGGGAAGGCAAACAACTTTATCGCATGATTTTGCGTCAATTTATTATGTATTTTCAATAACTTGTTAAATATCTCAAGTTGGCAACAAAATTTTCAATTTGGCCAACAACTGAGCGTCTCAAAGCAACGGAGTTCTGATTGCTTTTACTTCATCCTTTAATTAAAACCCAATACGACTAATTGCAAACGAATTTACCGAAGCTCTATCAAAGCCAATACTGCAAAGAATTCCTAACTGCAAAACCATTTAAATTAATCAGCATCAAATAGCAACCCAACCAAGTGAGACACAAATTG